ACACATAATGCCTTTTCCCCACCACTAGCAAACATCTCCAAAATCCCATGTGATTGGGAATATGTCTTTAGGGCTGGGAACATGATTTAGAAGGAACTTAGTATACCTCTTAAAAAAACAAAAACTAAAAAACTAGAGCTTTCTCAGTCTGGAGATGCAGTGAAATTATCATCCATGAAATGTCCGTCTTCTTAATAGAGGCACAAAAAACTTGCTAGAGGGAAAAATTACTAAAACCTATTGTAACTCATTGCAAGACTCAAATGGGATGAGCTTAGAATGCTTACTTTATAGCATTTACTGTTATGGAGGAATAAAAGTTGGCAATCTAAAGGAGCTGACTATTGGAAGGATGATTCTAGAATCTTCTCCTGTCATTTGAGGTGCCATTCCTCTTGTGTTTCCAAACTGATACCTTGCAAAAGTCTCCAGAAAATCCTCAGGGATACAAATACATAACAGAGATAGTCATCAAAATATATCTATAAATTGCAAATATTTACTCTGCCTAACTCTTGCTATGTTTGAAGAAGACTCAAATACCATACAGGTAATCCCCAGGTGCCCTCCCCATCTGGCTGTATAGCAAATTGACATTTGCTATGCTTCATCTAGACATGTATGCCCTTAGCTCTCTATGGACCTCATTATACAGATGCCCCCCCTCTATTTGGTTCCCCCATGCCCTTCCTCCTTCCCCCATCACATGGGGCATTGGGATAAGGCACCTTGGTGCTCTGTCCCTGCCCTCATCACATGGGGGAAATGGTGGCAAAGCACATTGCCCTTTCCGCTATCAGAAGGGGGAAAGGCATGACAAATGTGGGTAGCTCTATTGGATATACTCAAAACACAACTTACCTCCTGTTGTTGGTGAGGAAGCATTTTGCAATGCTTCTTCGCCACTTTAGTCATCAATGGGGCAGGGCCACGGCCTGCATCATATGATTGCACTCAGCAGGCCCTGTCCCTGAAGAGGAGCAAGGGGCCAAAAGCCCCTTGTGTGATAAGGTGGTACATCTTCCTAGATAATTAGGGAAGTATCTTGGATGACAGACCTAGCATCCATGTAGTACTGGACAGATAAATATGACTGTGAAGTTCACAAAGAGGGGAGATGAATTGGCCAATTTCAGTTTCCCTGTTCCATTTTCTCCATCTTATCAAACTTGGAAGGCACCGAATGAATTGCACTCTGTAACCATGAGATGCAAAGCTAATATTAAGACATGGGGCTACAAAGTGGAGTCCACGACATGTGAGTTTGGAGAAGAGTAAACTACAGACCACTTACTGTAATGCGGTCTGAGCCTTGCCACATGCACAATGGAAAACCTTCTTACAGTGACACCAGAGGCACTCAACGTGGCCAGTTTCTGGTCAAAGAAAAGTTAGTATAACGCCATGTTTTAAACTTTATTTTTGTTTTTTATACATTATAACTGTATTATCAATTTGCTACTGACATGATAAATCAATCAATCAAACTCTGAGAATTTCCCCAATCTTATATACATTTCTTCTGAAATGGTGAGGTATGTTTGATTCTTCCTGAATCTTATTTTATTCACTTTTGTCTGGCTTTCTTCTAATATTTGTAATTTTGCTCCATAAAGGCAATTTTGTGCCAACAGCTTTCCCAACGTAATGGATTTTTGGATATCATTTTCACAAATATACACATTTTCTGTGTATAATCAGATGCATTGCTGTATGTGTCTTCACCTTCATCTTTTGTGTGATGTGGGATGGGTGGGTGCAGAGCTCCATTGTAAAATTCAAGAAGTGTGATGTTCAAAGAATAATTCAGTTTTAGTTTACATAATGTTCCAGAAGTGCAACATTATCAAAGACTGCAAACCCTATTCACATGCACTTTATGAAAGTAGTAACATTTCCTTGTTCTTTATCTTCTATATATTATCATTCAGCAATGTGCCTCTTTTTAGCATGGAATTTTAGTTTACCAGTCACAGCCAGATCTTGTTAATTGTATTTCTGGACTACAGTTCATAGAATTCACCCATTGAGTTACAATGACCCCACAAATTTCATAGGATTTCTTATGCAACCAATACATACTGGGTGGTTTTGTCAGTTCCCTCTGGAACATAGCCTACAACACCTGGTATTCATTAGCATATCTAATCCAAATATCAGCATGTTTAGCTTCCAAGATCAGATGGAATCTGATGCCCTTGAGATATTTAGGTCAATATGAAGTTTAGGGAGGTATTCAAGTTGAGTATCCCTTATTCAAATTTATTTGAACCTGAAATATTTTGGATTTTGGAATAGAATCATAGAATCAAAGAGTTGGAAGAGACCTCATGGGCCATCCAGTCCAACCCCCTGCCAAGAAGCAGGAATGTTGCATTCAAATCACCCCTGACAGATGGCCATCCAGCCTCTGTTTAAAAGCTTCCAAAGAGAATACTTGTACATAATGAGATATCTTGGGAAAAAACGCAAGTGTAAACACAAAATTGTAAACACTACATTTATGTTCCATATATATCTTATACACATAGCCTGAAGGCAATTTTATACACAATATTATTAATTTTTCTTTTCTACATGAAACCAAGTTTGTCTACATTGAATCATCAGAAAACAAAGGTGTCATTATCTCAGCCACCCATGTGGACAATTGAAGACTTTGGAGTATTTTAGATTTTGGAGTTCCAGATAAGGCATGCTCAACCTGTATTTAGACTCCCAGAGAGTTCACCTGGGGTCCCCAGATGTTTTTGGCCTACAACTCCCAGAAATCCTAACAGCTGGTAAACTGGCTGGGATTTCTGTGAATTGTAGGCTAGAAACATCTGGGGACCCCTGGTTGAGAACCACTGCTAGTGTCTCACTCAACTACAATGGGATTCCGAATTATGCAGCCATAATAATTAAAATTGAATCATAGTTCTATAATTGTGGAGTATGAATGTGCCCCAGTTTGAAAGGCTACAATGGAATAGCTCTGAGACTTTGGGCAAGGAAATTCAATGAGGACAAGATTTCATTAAAGTTGTTTTCCATAGAGCCTAAACCAATCCCAACTCCCAGGCTTCATCCTTTATGGGTTTGAAGGAAGGAAGCCTTGGGAATTGTCCCCTGTATTTTAGGGGATTTTAAAACATGTCAAAAATAAAAAAAATAAGTGTAGCCCCTGTGTCATGAAGCTCCCATTCCAATATGTGGTGAAAATCAGAGAAAAGGGTGTACTTGTTTCACACAGCCCTAGATCCCAGAATATCAAGGCAGAAAATCCCCCATTATCTGATTGTGGACTCAGGGCACATCTAGACAGCCCCTGTAATGCAGGAGTTACCACAATAAAAAGGGGACTGTCCAGATGACATCCTGGACAAACCTGAATTAACTCACCACAAACCAGGAAAACCCTGGTTTGTGGTGAATTAATTTGATAGTGGGTTTATTCCGTGCCTTCTTGGAGGGCGCGGGATAAACCCACTACTTCTGGTGCTTGGACTGCAGTCCTGACAGTAGTCCCACAGTTTTCCGGGCTAAATTCCGGGAAAAATGAACATGGAATGGCTGAACGTTGCTGCTGGATAATGATTTTAACAGGATGACATCAGTGATTGTACGTTTTTGAATGGTTATATATGCTTTTAAAATATTAAGTTGAACGTTTTTAACTGTATTTTTTATTAATGTATGGCATTAAAATTGCTATTTCTGTGAGCCACCTTGAGTCGCCACAAGGCTGAGAAAGGCAGGCTACAAATGCCACAAATAAATAAATAATTTTCATAGCCTGAAGGCATTTTTAAAACCATATTTATAGCAAAACAAATCTTGTGCACATTGAACCATCAAAAAGCAAACGTGCCACTATCTCAGTGTTGACAATTTTGGGGTGATTTCAGAATTCCAGAGAAAGGATGCTCAACCTATATATGTATGTATGTGCACACACACACAACTGCAAAATATAAACTGCAATTATCAAAATATAACAACATTCCAATCCACACAGTAGCCCAGAAATTATTAATTGAATCAGTTTCTGCAAAACTGCAGACTGAACAAAATCCATTACTGTCCTCTCTTGAAGTCCCCCTATTTTCATTCAGTAGAGAGGTACATAAATGGTCTAAATAATGAATTGCATGCTCCTAGTCCCCAAAGTAAGCAATGATGTACTCCTAATAATCCCCCCCCCCCCCCCCCACACACACTATTGGATATTTGACCAGAGGGCTATATTTCACTCAGAGATTTGCTTTCTTCAAAGAGTCTCATACCAACTGTACTCTTTTTGTGCAAGGTTTGCAAGAAAACTATTATTTAAGAATGAAGTTGGTAGCATAAGCTTTTGTTAACATCACAATGGGCAGCAAGGAAATAACTTGGAGTCCAAATGATCTTTTGAAGGATTTATAAGTTGTTCAAATAAAGAAATGGGAACCAAGCATTTTGGTCTTCTAATGTATTAGGTCAGGCATCCTCAAACTGTGGACCTCCAGCTATTTGAGCCTCCAACTCCCAGAAGCCCTAACAAGTTTGTTCAATTGTCAGGAATTCTAGGAATTGAAGGCCCAAACAGCTGGAGGGCTGCAGTTTGAGGATGCTTGTATTAGGTTAACTCTACATACTTCCCTGATAATCTCTATATACTTCCCTGATAATCTCCTTGACTGTCTTTAACATTCCATCCATCAATTCTTCTAGAGATCCAGGCTCAACTTTGGTTTAGTTTTCCTCTTTTATAGATTAGCCAAGGCAAAAATGCTCAAAGTTTAAAAGGAAGAGGTAGTACCATCCTGATAACCTTACTTGCTTACCACCCTTGTTGATTACACATCTCAAATGTCTTACGTAGATGGAACAGCAAAGAAAGGCATGACATCTTAAACAAAAAAATCTTTTAATTTTTGCACAAACTGCCATGGATCTCTCTTCCCCTGGAACATGTCAAGAGGTCAGCCATATCTTTCATGGCTCATATCAGAAATAAGAGAACACAGAATACTTACGCTAGTTGGGTACAACAGTGGCAAAGGAAGCATCAGGAGTGGAATTAGGATAACCAGAAGCAAGTTTCTGGCTCGGAGTAACTCCTTCACCACGGTCATTCTGCTCCACCTGCTGTTAATTTCTTGGTGTCCCAATGGGTATTTCTGAATACACTCTTCCAGTTCCAAACCAATGGTTTCTTTCTTTCCACTTAAGGAGTTCAGTACTTGTTTCTTTTCTCTCCTTGAAGGAAAACTTATCATATACATTGAAGTGTCTACACCTTTTATGTAGGGCTGACTAGCACATCTTCTTGATGCTGTTGGTATCTGAGGAACATAGTGTTCTTTTGCTTGGCAACGATCAAAGAAAGCACCAGGCTGACTCGACATTCCTAATTGTTTTCCCTCTTTCCATCATGTTTTAAGGATACAAATCATATATAGAAAAGTACAAATATATGGTCTTTAACCTCACGTTCTTCCTGTAGTTGTCCACTTTCAAAGTATATCCCAACTGCTGAATCAGTAGCCCACTTAGACACAAATTAAACTACTAAACAAAATAAAGAGCATTCAAAAAGTGTTTCCTCCCCTTCTCCTTTTTGCATTCCTTCCTGTAATGTTTCTTAACTGCTTAGAGATTATGAACCGCCACCTCCTGCTAGGAAACTCACAGAGCAGCAATTCTTACAGAGATTACCTTGCATCTCGATAAAAACCTGGGAGAAAGTTTTGGCCTCCTGCAGCCAGCCAATGAGAAGGTTGGAAGGAGGCAGAGGCTCCACCTCTTAGTCAAAAACTACAGTATGAATGACAAGGAAAGCAATGTTCTGCCACAAGATACGCTATTCCCCTTCCCCGTGCCACCTCCCCACTCCTGCCCGCAGCTGCTGAACAATGTGACTGTTTCAAGGCCAAGGACCTGCTGTGAAAATATGAATCCCCACTGACAATGCAACATGGTTCACTTTTGATCTCACTGGACACAAACACACACCATTTCTGGAGAAAACATACATTTGGAGCAGTTAATACCTATAAAACTAATGGAAAAGTTCTGTCCCATCTAATGTCACCCATCAGTGATGAATAGTGGACCACATCAGGGTTAATAAACCTCCTTTTCTTTGTTATTCACCCAGAGTTGCTAAAACAAGGAACTGTCACGCAATTAGCAAGCCCAAAACACATTGGCTGCATTGAACCTCCATCACAGAACCATACTTCTGAGCTATACCTTGCTATCTAGTACCTGTTGCTGCCCAAACAAAATGACACTTTCAGTGTCCAAAGCCTGCTTGGTTCAATACCAGGTGTGGGAGAATATTAGTTTCTACACTTGAAGCCATGAGGTGATTTGAGGTGGTACTGGACAAGATAGGGGCTTTGTCCTTGCCTGAGGAGGAAATTGCCAGAAAAGCTTTGGGACTATCACTACTGCATCTCAGCATCTTCTACTTGAGGATTTCACCTCACTCCTTTTGGTAGTAAAATAGCTGGAAAATGGGACAACAGGTAATTAATTGCAACTGTTTGTGGTTATGCTCAGAATAAGCATTTTGGACTTCTCCTCCTCCTCCTTCTGTGCCTTCAAACCCTTTTCAACCTCTGGTGAACTTATCACAGGTATTTCTTTTGGGAATTTTTGTTCAGAAGAGATTTACCATTTGCTTCCTCTGAGGCTGAGAGGGTGTGACTTGCTCATGGTCATCCAATATGTTTCGTGATTGAGAAAGGGTTCTAAACTGTTATATTAAAAAGACAGGGAATATTTCTTTTAAATAACAGAGTGGACAAGGACACTTCCATATGGCTTTCATTTTTTAAGATATGTTTTTTATTGCAGACACAGGTAGAATAATATTACAATCCATCACCATTTCAAGATACATATCAAAGATTATTTTCTCTCTGTCCTTATCCTTGTCTATTCCACCTTTATCTCCCACTTGTGTCTATCGATTTTACACCCCTTCCCCCACCCTATGGGAACAGTAATTTCCTTCATTCAAATATTATTTTAATTGAACAATTGTAGAAAGAGAATGTTCAGTTCTTTAAAAAAATTTCTTTTCTTTCGACTTTGTCTATCAATCTTCTCCAAATCTTATTGATTTGGCCTGATGTATATTTGGTTCTTCTTTCAAAGATGTAGTCCTGGAGTATAAAGTCTGCTAAGTAACCATGCCATTTTTTAACTTCCCACTTTCTATGGTCTTTCCAACCCAAGGCCATAGTTGCTTGGGCAGCAACTACCATGTATTTTCTAATTTCCCCCCAATCCTTGATGTTTTTGTTCTTGTCTAATTTATGGATGAAGAATTCTTTTTTTATTCAAAACCAATGGGAAAAGCTTAGACCAAGATCCTATTTGATGTTGATGGCTCCACCCACATAGTTATGTAGGAATTCCAGAAGGAATTGATGCAGATGGTTTGGTAAGTGGGGAGGATGCACACTGGAGCTCTCATAGTGCCTCTCTTCAATTCATTGGGTTGGCTTTCCAAAAAGCATCTGGTTGGCCACTTGGAAAATTAACTTTTTTGGATCACAGCTTCCATGAATTTACTAGCTGGCTGGGAAAAATCTGGGAATGGTAGTTCAAAAAACAAGCCTTCCAAGCTTTGAGTGGAAAGAGGATACTGGACAAAACTTTTAAGCTAATCCAGCAAAGCACTTTCTACATTCTTAAAGAGAACTTGCTTCTGCAAAGAATTATATCCTTCTGAAAACATGAACATTAAAGTACAAAATTTTGAGCTCTGGCAAACATATTTAGAGAATTCAGTTCAAGATGTCTTCACCCATTCTCTCTAGCAGTGCTCAGTATTTGAGAAGAGATTTTTTTAGAAGCCAACAACAAAAAAATAAATTAGATAGTGATATAAGACCTTCTAAATACATTATGTGCCCATTTTCCTGTAGTTTTGTTGCTTATATCTTGTGATAAATACACCCCAAACTCAAGTCTATCTTTCAACATTGCTGTTTTATTTCTTCATTAGAGATTCTTTAGTAAATAAAGTAGATCTATTGGGATGCCTTACTCATATTTTGTGTTTCTGACATTACCCACAGTAAAAATGGTGGATGAAAACCACAAAACTGGGGAGGCTTTATTTTACAAGCTAGAAGTGAAGAGCTGTAAGAGTTATTTCTATGGTTCATTGCTCCACAGGGAGTCCCAGGGTGTTTTATGCTTTGTTTGTATATGTATTATTCAAAGAGTAAGCAATGCTGATGTTAAATCAACAATGCTATGTTTTGAAGCTGGGGGATGTCTCACTGTGCGGTGGAAATGTGCTTGAAAGTTTAACTAAGGTTTCATTAGGGGAGTCTTCTGTTAAAGCAGTAATGGCAAAAGTAAAGCCTGTAGGCCATTTGCAATCCCACTGCAATCCCACTGCAATCCCTAATGTTTTTCTGGGTCATTTTAAGTCCAGAAGAGACCTGGTTTTTATACAGGAATTCTGTCAGAGATTGATTTCTACTTCACTCATTTAAAAAATGTTTCTCCTGGTATAACATGGCCCATGGACACTTAAAAACATAGCAAAATAGTCGCCCATACCTAGGTTTGCTCTGCTGCTTGTTAGGCTGGAGTTTACTTGAATATTGGGCATGTTTCCTAGTGCATGTTTGGTCCATCATCAGTACTCCTACCTGCAGTTTAGGTGCTGGTTTCTCAACTGTTTTGATTGAACAGTCAGCCTGCATGGATAAAGCGAGCACCAAACACTTGTCTTCTGCTCAATGTAATGTCTATTACCTATTCTGTAAAATAGGCACTCAAGTTTGGAGACTTAGCCTTACTTTCTGGACATTTTTCCTGGATGCAGATAACAGTATGGGTTCAATATCCATGGTTTCTCTTGCTTGCACTCTGAAAAAATATTCCTCTGAGAGACAATGTGCCATCTAGGCCCTGACTGGGGCCCACCACATATGAAAAACTCATAATAAGACCATGCCATTAAATAGCAAAATCAAGTTTGCCTATGCCATGGTATTTCTGATTTCTATGTGAAAGCTTGACAGAAAGAATAGCCCTTGACTTGAAATATGATGCTGGAGGTGAGCTCTTCAGATTCCATGAACTGCCAAAACCCAAATAAATGGGTTCTATAGTAATCAAGCTTGAATTCTCACTGAAAGCAAGGAAGACTGAACTGGGATTGTCATACTTTGGACATGTCATGGCAAAGGAACTAATGTCCAGTAAAATGGAAGGCACTAGGAAAAGAGGAAGACCACACTGAAATAGAGCTATTTAAAATGGCCGCGGATAGTGAAACCTGAAGTGTAGATACCGAGTTCTGATACACAGTTACTGGTACTGGCAACAGGCCACCCTGTAGGTCTGTGCATCTGGTGAGATGAAGAAGTTCAATATTCCCAAATAAATCTCATCAAGTTGAAGAAGAAGCCACCAAGGTGTTTACTGAAATCAGCTGAAGTAATGCCAGCCCGTAGTAAGCTGAGATACCATACAGTACAAAACATACATTTTAATGCAGTCTAACCCTCTGAATTCCCTGTGCCAGCCCCAGCTGGACATGGCTTTGCTATAATTGGCTAAGCTCCATTGATGTCATAGAACAGCTAAGGGAGGATTCCTTGCAGAGGCAGGACTGCAGCACCTGCCAGCCAATAGGAGGGCATTTCCTGCTCCTAATGCAGATTCCCATTCTCCAATGGCTGATGGTGGGCAGACAGGTCCTAAAGACAAAGGAAGGAATGGATTATCATGTCCCAGCTGAGGGACAAACAAAGAAGGCCATTGTCCCATGAATTTTGTTTTTAAGATTATTGCAATTGGAGTGAATGGACCCAGCAGAAATATTGTCCATGCTGATAGGATTAAGTAGTTTGTTGCTGAGAAAGGAGAACGGGGCATGACCTCTTGGTGTACTGGTTGGTCATATTGGGTGATGAATGCAATAAGGTCCAAGTGACTGGAACAAAGGACCGGTGGCCTAGCAGATGGATCCTGTTGTCCCATCACATTCGGGGGTCTATGGGACCAGTATAGATAGCCTGATCTAAGGGTGATGGGTAATTGAGTACTTTTCATGTAGATGAAGCTCAGGAAGACAGCTGTATGGACTTCCTGGGTCAGGAGATGTAGGCGAAAGGTCACCACAAAGGCTAGGTTGGCAGCATGCTTCTCCAGAAAGGATTTATACTGAAACATAAAATATAATATAGTAAATGCACACACATACATAGAAGGGTCTGTGGATAACGAGGGAACCCTGAAAATGGGTAACAAGATAGATATCCACGGTGAAGGCAAAGTGCAGGCCCGTAGCCAGGATTTCATTTCGGGGGGGGGGGGGCGCTAAAAATTTTTCAGGGGGGGGTTCGGGGGGGCGAGTTTTGGGGGGGGCTGAGTCTGAGTGAAAGAGGGTCTAGCCTAGCAAACCTTTTGTATCATTACCCCAATACCCCCATGCATATGGGATATATTGAGCATGGTGATCAGATCATGATATGAATAAACATAACAGTTTAAATAATCCAGTAAGGCCTTCTCGTGGACCACCCTGAGAATTGGGGGGGGGGGCTGAAGCCCCTCAAGCCCCCCCCCCCCCCCCCAGCTACATGCCTGGCAAAGCGCATACAAGAGATCAATGGATTCTAGGGCAAACTCAGCCAATTGATAGCTTTCAGTATCCATGGGTTTGTGTGTGTGT